GCAGACACACGTGCGCTCACGGGAGGGAAGCCTCCACTGCCAGTCACCAACGCGCTGTCACGGATTCAAGAGGTAGCAAAAGGTCAGAAGCCTCCCCACCTTGTCCAGGGAGGGAGGAAGGAAAAGCGAAAACATCTGTCCACGCGCACACACGGTGCACGTGCACGCGCGCGCACACACACACACACGCACTCATGTACACACAGAGAAAATGCAAAACGAGAGTACCGACGGCCCTGGCCTCAAGCCCAGCCTCCCCCCACCCCCCGGAACCCCGACCTTCCAGTTCAGTCACATAAACGTTACACTGGTTTTTCTCGTAATAAAAAACAAGTACCTCTAAACAAAGAATATTCCGTGGAAACTATAGGAAAAGCTCTCTCTCTCTCCTGAGGCAGCCGAGGCAGGGCTCGGGGACCAGGGAAGCCTTTGGGCAAGAAGGGCTTCTGGGGCCTGGAGAGGTGGGTTCCCCAACGTGCCCCACAGGGCCAGGGCTGGGGGCACGGGAGGAAGGGGCGGCCGCCCCTGTTACATTCAGTCCGCAGACCCAGGCTCAGCCCCAGAGGGGCCAGGAAGAAAATAAACTCTTGTTTGTTTTGGTTTAAAAAAAAAAAAAATTCAAAAGTGGGGGGGAAAGATCAGTAGGAATAACAGCAACATAGGCCCGGAGGGCTCTTTAGTTGTAGAGAGGTAGGCGGTGGGGTCACCCTGACTGTCCCAGCGCCCATGAGCAGTGCCGCCCTGGCTCAAAGAGGGGGATCTACCGTCCCCAGCACCTGCTCCCCGCAGAGCCAAGATCGCCCGTACCCACACACACTAGCACACGTGCACGCATGGACACGGCCCTGCCCGGTCGCGCCATGCCATCACACGGCCGGGGGCAGGCAGGCAGCCCCGCCTCTCACCAGCACAGGGCCCCTTCTCCACCCTGGCCTACTGAACGGGACCAGGTCCCAGCGAGACCCCCACCCACCCCCACAGGCCCTGCGGAGGCCCTGGCGGGGAGCTGGGGAGGTAGACGCCACCAGCGACACGCGTGCACACGGAGCCGGGGCCGCTGGCTCCCTCCTCTCGGCTTCCCTTGGTACGGACTGGATTAAAGCTCTGGGTGTGAGGAGGCTGGGACCGCGGGTCCCGGCCTGGCCGCGGCCTCCTGGCTGGTTCCGCGGCTCCCAGGGGGGCCGCGGGGCGCGCGTCTTTGGCTTCTAGGAGGGGGAGGTGTGCATGCGCAGGTGGCTGATGAGGTTGCGCTGCTGCGTGAACTTGCCCCCGCACAGCTGGCACTCGTAGGGCTTCTCGCCCGAGTGCACGCGCATGTGCTCGGTGAGGCGGTACTGGCGGGTGAAGCGCATGCCGCACTCGTCGCAGGCGAAGGGCTTCAGGCCCAGGTGGCTGCGCATGTGGCGCGTCATGGTGCCGCGCTGCGTGAACATCTTGCCGCAGATGTTGCAGGGGAAGGGCCGCGTCAGCCAGTGCGTCTTCTCGTGCTGCCGCAGGGTGGCGGGGTCCTTGTAGGTCTTCTCGCAGACGGAGCACTTGAAGGGCCGGGGCTCGGTGGCGTAGGCGGCGGGTGCCGACAGGTCCTCGGCCTCCTCGGCACCCCCGCTGCCCGTCTCGTAGGCCCCCTCCTCCTTGATGAACAGCTCCTCCTCCGTGTGCGTCTCCACGTGCGCGTTGAGCTGCTCGGAGCTGGGGAAGCCCTTGGCGCAGGGGATGCACACGTAGAGGTTGTCCCCGTACGACACGGTCTCGTAGCCCTCCTGCCGGTACATGTAGTGGGCGCCGGCGTGGCCGCTGCCCCCCTCGCTCCCGCTCTGCCCACTGTCCTCGCTCCCCTCCTTGCCGTTCTCCTCCTCCTCCTTGCAGGAGTATGGGGGCTCCCCATATGGCCCACTGGGGCCGCCGCCGCCACCACTAGCCAAGATGCCATTGGGAACCCTGTCCCCGAGCCCCTCGCCCTCCTCCCCAGGGCAGGGGCCCTTGGGGCCTGCTTCTCTCCGCTCGAAGGGGGAGCCCGCAGGCTCCTTCTTGCCCCACTCCTTCTTGCGGGAGGAGGGCGG